GTAGGTTGCCTTTCTGGTAACAGAAAGTCAAGCGCAGATTTGGGCTTCCAACCAAGATGTAGCTGGTTGGGAGTCATACCGGTTGTGCTGTGCACAGCATTGTTGTACATCGTGGCGACAAGAGGTAACTTCTCGTCCCGGTCATCCTGGCTTGGCTTAATATAATGCCTAAGCAAGTGCTGCACTACACGGTTCATCTGTTCTGCTTGGCCATTTGACTCAGGGTGATTCCCTGACGTCATCTGGAGCTTTGTGCCCATTTGCTCAGCAGTTGACTGCCACAGTTCACTTGTGAACCTGACATCCCTATCACTAACGATAGATGTAGGCAAACCGAAAGCACGAACCCAATTGTCCATAAACAGATTGATGACGTGGTCAGTTTTGGCTGTTTCTGGCATAGCGATTAGTCTTGCGTACTTAGTAAAACGGTCCACTATTACGAAGATGTGTCTCTTTCCAGACTTATTGGTCACAAGGGTATCCATGAAGTCCATGGACACACTTTGACCAGGACCTTCAGGAATCGGCAAGGGCTTGATGAGCCCAAGCGGAGCCTGAGTCCTTGGTTTGTCCCTTTGGCAAACCTCGCAAGTTTCAACATATCGTTTTGCATCTTCCATCATAGAGGGCCACCAGAATCTCTGAACTAAATTTGTTGTTGTCTTCTTATAGCCAAAATGACCCGTTGCATCGTGACACTCTCCTAAAAATAAACTACGCAAAGACTCGCTATTAGCAACACATAGTCTTTTATTCCCTGCCTTATCAAGGAACAGCAAGTCGTCTACCATCGTAAATTCGTGCAAAGTGTTTTTATCCTTTTCCTTGAACCTACGAATGATCTCTGACATGACTGGGTCTCCCTGATAGGCTTCCACCAACGATCGAGTGAGGTCATTAGATATGTCAAACTCAATTACTAGCGCGCCCAGATAATCTGCCCTTCTTGATAGCGCATCAGCCACTTTGTTGTACGTACCCTTGATAGGATCAAGTTGATAGTCATACATGTCTATCACTTGAATCCATCTCTTGAGTGCGTCCGACAAGACTAGCTGTGTCTTGATCCAGCGCAAAGTCTCATGGTCCGACTTCACATAGAAGAACCTTCCTAGGAGGTAGTGTCTCCAATAAACTAGCCCTCTATACAGGGCGTAGAGCTCTCTCTCATAAGTGGAGTTGGCCAACTTTTGAGATGGCATCTTCTTGCTCATGTACTCGATCGGTCTCAACTTGGGCCCTTCCTGTTGCGCAAGGACCGCGCCTATGCCATATTGGCTGGCGTCTGTGGTCACAACAAACGGCTTGTCAGGATCAGGAAGTTTGAGAACTTCATAGTGTGTCAGATCATACTTCAATTTCTTGAAGCTGGCTTCACACGCTTGTCCACTCCCAAGAGGTGTCAAGTCGAGTTAGATCCGTTAATGGGGAAGCTATAGTACTATAGTTCTTCACAAACGGACGATAATAGCCCGTCATCCCCAAAAACGATCTGACCTCAGTAACCGTCTGAGGTCTGGGCCAGTCACATATGCTGGCCACCTTTGCATCTTCCAGCCTCAATCCATCTGCTGAAATTTCATGACCCAGGTACAGGATCTTGGTGCGACCAAACTCGCATTTATCCAAGTTCACTTTGTAATGGTGTTGTCTAAGGAGACCTAACACTGTTTTCAAGTGCTCAGCGTGGTTCTCTACAATCCTACTAAAGATGAGAATATCGTCGAGATACACGTCGATAAACTTGTCCAAGTAGTCATGAAAGATGCGGTTCATCGCGTGCTGGAATGTACCAGGTGCATTGCATAGGCCAAAGGGCATCACCACAAACTCGTACAGACCGTACCTGGTCTGAAATGCGGTTTTGTGCTGGTCCTCAGGTCTAACGGCAATTTGATGGTATCCGGACTTCAAATCTATTTTTGTGAAGTACCGACATCTCTGCACTCTATCCAAGAGGTCGTCAATGCGGGGTAGGGGCTCCGCGTTCTTAACGGTGATGGCCTTGAGGCCCCTATAGTCAATGCACATCCTTAATGGACCTCCCTTCTTAGGAACAAATAAGACTGGCGCACCGTAAGGGGAGGTACTAGGCCGTATCCATCCCTTCTCTGTGAGCTCCTTGAGTTGGAGGCGAAGCTCATCTAACTCCGCAGGAGACATCCTATAGATTCGTCCTCTAGGCACCCTACTACCTGGGACAACCTCTATTGCATGGACAACCTACCTTTCCACCACGC